TTAAAAGCAAGCTTTTCTTTGTAAAAACTTTAATTGAATTTCAATAAAGTTAAAGGCATGGCCTTACCGTTAATATTAAAAAAAAAAAAAATTTTTAAAGGGATACTCTAGTCTATAATAAAACATATAACTATTGCAGAGCAATCTAGAAATGGGTTATATGTTTTATTATAATCTAGAGCACTTTATTAACAACCCTATATTTGAACAAACCTTAATGACCAAACTTGAATGCTTTAATATTTATATATACTTCTCCTGAGTAAACTTATATTTGTTTATTTAAATTAACAATAAAGCAGTAAAATAAAACTAGTGTGTAGTGCAAAAAATTTGAGTAAATAACTTACACTTCACTAGTAGTCAAATGTGATTACAACTCATTTACTAATCTGTAAGAATCTCTGTAATGTAAACTAATTATAGTGATTACAGAAAGTTTAAAAAGGCATGCCAACTTTTTTAAATACATCTACTTATTTAATATAATAATGTTAAAACTTGTTGGCTTTAAAAGGTTTAATATATGAGTGATTATAAAATATAAAGACAAAAAATAGAACATGATACTCAATATACAAATATAAGTGTTATAATTTGATTAATATATGTCATGCACAAACTACTGAAAATTCATTAGATTTTACTAAAAATAAAACACTAATTTGAGATTCGATTTGTACTAACATTATACATTTAACTTAATCAAAAACTTACAATTAAGTTTTTACTTGATTTTGTTAAGCACTAATTGAGAGATATTTTTGCAGCGAATAAGTGAACTTGAATATAAAATGCCTATATTTTCAGAAGATAATCAGAAGTGAGAACTTGGCTAGACAGCAATATACAACTTCTTATTCTTGTTATATATGATGAATACATCTTTTCTGCTAATGATAGAAGCCAGAGCCTTTGAATTCCTGATGGTAAACAACCTTTACTAAAAAAGATTAGGGTTATTCAATTCATGTTAGTGGATTTTTAACTGATGTTTGTGGTCGACTTATGCTTCCTGATAAAATACAACCATCAGATGAGCTTTTTAGAGAAGCCTGTGTCATTACATATCTCAGCAAAAATGAAGATAGATGGTGGAAGTCTGAGAACTTGATTAACCCAGATAATCAACCACACTATTTCCATATTTGAAGCATGTTTTTCAGAATACCAAGCCTTGTTCACATTAGACAATGCAACAAGCCATGCTATTTTTTCACCTGATGCACTTATTGCCAACTATATGAATTTTGGTTCTACTAGAAAACAAGAGAAACTATGTAGCATATTATATTTTCATGAAGGAATAAGATATGACCAGGATATGATTTTTTTCATTAGACTATTGTATTCCTGAATTATGTGAAGAAGCTAAAGGGTTAAGAAAAGTTCTAAGAAAGAGAGAATTGTGGTCAAAAAAGGATTAAAATTAAAAGAAGCATTAGAATTAATGAGTCAATAACTGGACTTTTTGGCACAAAAAGGACTGTTGGAAAAAATTATTATTGTAACTGGGCACCAAATTGTGTTTTATCCCAAATCTAATTGTAAGCTCAATTACATCGAGAACTTTTGGGGTGCAGCCAAGAGATATAGCTGATCACATTGTAATTATTTATAGAAAGAATTGCAAAGAACTGTTTCATTATATCTTGATTTCATCTTACTTCTAACTATTTGCCAATATGCAAGAAAGGCATTTTGCTATATAGATGCATATCAAAAAGGTTTGAAGAGTAAAGCAGCTGAATTTGCTGTTAAAAAATATGTTCACATCACCAAATTCCTGATTCAGTTTTAAATTCAATTGGATCTGATTAGTTAATTCTTTTTTTTTTGCATAATATAAATTTAATATAGTGTAAACACTCTAGTCGCATCAAATTTGTTTCACAATATCTTGATTATTAGTTTGGCATGACATCTTCAAGCTATTTTCTATTTTTAAATCACTACTGCTCAACAAATATGCGCAAATTCGCAAAAAAAAAACTCACATAAATTGATAATTAAAGGAAAATTTTACAAAATTATAGGTTTTTTTTGTGAATTTATATATAGTTATTGAAAGTAGTAATTTTGAATGTCTTTAGAATGCTTATACAATATTATATTATCAATTATTTTGAATTTTTATCTTTTTTTTTAATCTCTTTGAAGAGTTTACAATAAATATAAATTTTATATATATAAAGCTGCTAATTATCAGTATTGCAATAATAGTAATATAAATATTAAATAATTGTTTCACAAACTTAGTTTAGTGCATTTAATTAAGCATCAAAGAGGTTGAATGATCTTGAAGTATATAAATAAATGGCCTAAATAGTTAACTAAATAGTTAAGTTATCAGTTTTAATTGTATTTATATCAAATTACTTAATAATATATTATAGTGGCCAAATTACTTGTTTTAATAGCATATATAAAATGCCCAAATTGCTTATTCTAATAGTATATGAAAATGGCTAAATTGTTTGTTTAATTATAAAATTAGTTCAACTTTTATTTACTACTATTTTTTAAAATATAATTTTAAAAAATTTTCAAGAACTTGGGTTTGTGTAATTTAAGTAGGATTATAGTTTTGAGATAAGATTTTGTATTTATTGAAGTTTTTAAAAAAGGACTAGCAATTTGAAATATATTAATTTTATTTGTTAAGACTAGGTTGTCTGTGCTATATTAAAAATATTCAAGATTTTTTAAATTTTTATATGTTTCTAAAACTAAAAAAAAAAATTTACATTTTGTACAAGTCTAAATTTTTATAAGTAAATTGCAAAAGTGTTATTAATAAAAATTAGTATTCTTTATATAAACTAAAATATTATACTTGGTTTAGGTCACAGAT